ATATGCTGTGTTTCCAGTACTGTTTTGTGAATGTTATATTGTTGAATGTCACATGCTGTGTTTCCAGTACTGTTTTGTGAATGTTATATTGTTGAATGTCACATGCTGTGTTTCCAGTACTGTTTTGTGAATGTTTTATTGTTGAATGTCATATGCTGTGTTTCCAGTACTGTTTTGTGAATGTTATATTGTTGAATGTCATATGCTGTGTTTCCAGTACTGTTTTGTGAATGATTTATTGTTGAAGGTCATATGTTGTGTTTCTACCCCTGTTTTGTGAATGTTGTATTGTTGAATGTCATATACTGTGTTTCTACCCCTGTTTTGTGAATGTTGTATTGTTGAATGTCATATGCTGTGTTTCTACCCCTGTTTTGTGAATGATTTATTGTTGAAGGTCATATGCTGTGTTTCCAGTACTGTTTTGTGAATGTTATATTGTTGAATGTCATATGCTGTGTTTCTACCCCTGTTTTATGAATGATTTATTGTTGAAGGTCATATGCTGTGTTTTAAGTATTGTTTTATGAATGATTTATTGTTGAAGGTCATATGCTGTGTTTCCAGTACTGTTTTGTGAATGATTTATTGTTGAATGTCATATGCTGTGTTTCTACCCCTGTTTTGTGAATGATTTATTGTTGAAGGTCATATGTTGTGTTTCTACCACTGTTTTGTGAATGTTGTATTGTTGAATGTCATATGCTGTGTTTCTACCACTGTTTTGTGAATGTTATTGTTTCTGTACACTATGTCAAGAGGTTAGCCATAATGTGAACATTAGAAGAATAGTGTACTTCAGGTATCTTTACAATTTTGATTTTATATATAAATATATTTATGGGATTTGAGTGACGAGAGCGAGTTGTACATTTTTGAATAAATTTTTCTTGTTTTTTAAATCATTATACAATGTAGGACTTTTTATACATAAATGAAATTATCTAAAATGATAAAAACAAAACTCATAACTAGAGATGTTTTATTGTTATAACCTTGTTTTCTGACCTTATTTTTTTATTTTCCCAGCTTTTCCTGCAGGAATTCTCCAAACTCCTTTTTTCTCGAGTGACAGACCCGTGTAAGTGACCGTTTGAGTTCTGATCATTCCGTGTTTTCAACTTTTAAACCTTAGCGTCATTAACTGCTAACTTAGATTCAAAACATGCAATGAACGAATTCATCTGTATGTTTCCAAATATAGATTTAATAAGGCGATTTTTAGTTATCTCTCTTTAAGTTATAATGTTTATTTTGTATTCGTTCTAACCCTTTCACTTGAAACTTTATAAACAAATATTTTAAAGGTTTATTAACAAGAGCTCGGTTCACTATATATTATCAACTTCTGATCAAGGAAACAAGGATCGTAACTAAACTTTTTATTTTTTATGTTTATAATGCAATGATTCATCAGTTTGCTACCCTCGTTATTAGCGACATTTTCGGCCATAATCCCAATAATACATCACAAGGTTCGGACAGCTTAGACAATTTAGATGTGTTCTAAATTCACATACTAAGCTAACAATACAAATTAATCCTCCTAATAAAATATATAATGAAAATGAAATATGATAAATATGTATAAATATATTACACGTTTTAACAAACACTATTAATTAAAGATATAATACAATATAATTTACATAGAACGTCATTGTCTACTTAAAGCACTAACACCAATTCCATGACCTAACATTTAGTTTAACGAGGTTTTGTATACTAAATGTATCCCTGTAAGAGGCTTAAAACCCTTTTTATCTTTACTAAGAAATGACTCAGCGTTTTAACCAGGTGTGTCACAAAGTAACAATTTGTCAGTGTCAACTGTTGCCTGATAGCATCATGGTTATCTCAGTGAAATGTTGCGTATGATATATTTCTTACATTCTCAATTTTATCCTTTGAAAATAAAAGTTTCAACGGAGTAATTGTCTAAGTAGCACTAGTCCAGAGTAGACGTCACAGAGCACTTTAGGTTACCTTTATCGTGTTCAAAGTTACAGAAAATTTATTAGAAATTCAAACTGATTGAAACAAAATCCGCTCATTGAAAGTCCTCAGTCCAAAACAATATTTGATTAAAGTAACTATTGTTTAAACGCTGCAGGTTTTATAGTGGTGCTTATAATATCTATCACGGTATTATATTGGATTACTGTTGAGGAATAACAAAAATTACAGTCTCTGAGTTCAGAAAATTACTTTTTTCTTTCTTATATCAGGGCGATGAATTTTGGAGGAATTGGAATGGTGATTGGACATGAAATAACACATGGTTTTGACGATCAAGGTTTGTATTTTTATAACCTAGAAGACGGCTTTGTTTAATTCCAGAATCCCTTGTTGCTTGATGAGCTTAATAACTAAATGGTTAAACACTGTATATCCGTGTCTAATGTTTCTGCTACTAATAATATTATCATGTTATTATAGCAAATGAAGAGCTTAACATTCAATTGAATAAAAAAAACAAACACAAATTGATTAGTATTGATTAATTTGTCAGAAGTAAATGGTTTCTGTAGCCCAGTCGATATAAGTTTCTTCTAGAGAATATCAACGTCACATAGTGTGATCACTGGTTTAGGTTTCTGCTAGAGAATGTCAACGTCAGGTAGTGTGATAACTGGTTTAGGTTTCTTCTAGAGAATGTCAACATCACATAGTGTGATCACTGGTTTATGTTTCTTCTAGAGAATATCAATGTCATATAGTGTGATCACTGGTTTAGGTTTCTTCTAGAGAATGTCAACGTCACATAGTGTGATCACTGGTTTAGGTTTCTTCTAGAGAATGTCAACGTCACATAGTGTGATCATTGGTTTAGGTTTCTTCTAGAGAATGTCAAAGTCTGATAGTGTGATCACTGGTTTAGGTTTCTTCTAGATGATGTCAACGTCTGATAGTGTGATCACTGGTTTAGGTTTCTTCTAGATAATGTCAACGTCTGATAGTGTGGTCACCAATGTGGGTTTCTTCGAGAATGTGTCAACATCACATAGTGTGGTCACGTTATAGTTCACTTCAATATTAAATAATGGGTGTAGGTCACATGGGACATTATTTGGTTTTCTTTATAAGTTGTATAGGCTAGAAAATCCAGCAAAACTGTATGTTCAAGATAGCTTAGTGTGTCATTTGGGACATGTTGTGTTACTTAAGTTTTGTTGTGTTATTTGGAACATGGCTGTTTATTGGAGATTGATATGGTTTGATGTGTTACTTGGGTCTTGCTATGTTATCTACGTTGTTTTGTTTGATTGTTAATGTTCTACAAGTGTAAGAACTCTCCATTGGTGAGAACATTGGTTAATGTCCAGTAAATGAACCTTGGGATGAAACTTTGGATTCTTTCAAACTCACTTACGCGCGTTGTTAAAATTAAAATTAGTATTTTTTTCATTGTTTTTAGGTAGCCTTTATGATGGTGAAGGAAATATCAAACTCTGGTGGACCAAAGATACCCGAGAAAAGTTTGACGAAAGGGCCAAGTGTTTTATTAATCAATACAACAACTATAAAGATGACACCACAAAGCTGAATGTAATTACTTTTATTTTTGTTTCCATACCAATCAAAATATAACTTCTAAGTGCATTTTTTTGGGGGGAAAATAAGAAGTAATTTAAGGCCCTAATATGAAATTGTCGTTAAGTCTCAGCTACGTGTAGATAGAAAAAACTTATTTATAGTTTTCTTTATTTTCGTTTTTCGTAAACCGTTGAACTCGCTGATGTGAGACCAAAAACGACATTGTTGAATTAGAGCCTCGGTTAATTTGGAAAACAACAATATCTGTTGTGCTTTAAGAAATTATTACATGGTGATTTTTTAAGATGTCTAGGTGGTTCTTTCGTATCTTAAGAGTTTCGTAAATGAAAGTAATCAGTCTAAACTGACATATGAACAGTATAATTTTATAGATTATAATGAGACGTATAAGCGTTATATACTGATTACACAGGCCTACAATGGTTATATTGTCTTGAAATTTTTACATGGTCTATTGTAATTCCTGTACGCTGAATCCGAAGATAATATCCATTTTTCTCCATCACGTACAGATTTTTCACAAAACGTCATAACGCAATACATAAAAGAAAGACCACAACACGTAGTTTGAGGCTAGATTTCACACATAAAAAAGGATGAATGTGGATGCATATTCGTTTGACATCAATGTTCTTCACTTTTCTTCAGTTGTTTTGTTTGTATTTTTGTTAACAAACATAATAATAAAAAATGTTCATTGTGGTAAATGAAATAATAATTTGATCTAAGTAAGTGTTTTTTCTCTTCCCGATTTGTAAAAAAAAAAAATCCTCACGTGATAGAAAAAAATGGATATTATTTTCGAAATCTGAGAAGCTGAATTATGAAAAGTCCGTTATTAAAACCAAAACAACTTTTATTAAGTTTAAATTCGCAGGCGTGTGTAATTGTGATACACTCGAACAGTGTATACTGTTTATTATGAAACAAGAAAAGAGTATGTAGTAGATATTTTGAGAAATATGGTCACTAAGTAATAATTGTTGTCAAAGTCTATTACTGCTCTGTAGCACATTAATGTTTTTTTTTTTATGGAAACCGCTTTAATATCATTTTAATAATCTTCTTTTATGTGCAGCTGAACGGGAAAAATACTCTCGGTGAAAATATTGCTGACAACGGAGGATTAAGAGAAGCTTACAAAGTGAGTGTGAATATACTGCTAATGATTCAGTTAAGGTAACTAACAAAACTGCTTGTGTGTGAATATACTGCTAGTGATTCAGTTTAGGTAACTGACAAAACTGCCTGTGTGTGAATATACTGCTAGTGATTCAGTTTAGGTAACTGACAAAACTGCTTGTGTGTGAATATACTGCTAGTGATTCAGTTTAGGTAACTGACAAAGCTGCTTGTGTGTGAATATACTGTTAATGATTCAGTTTAGGTAACTGACAAAACTGCCTGTGTGTGAATATACTGCTAGTGATTCAGTTTAGGTAACTGAAAAAACCGCTTGTGTGTGAATACACTGCTAATGATTCAGGAAACTGACAAAACTGCTTGTGTGTGAATATACTGCTAGTGATTCAGTTTAGAAAGCTGACAAAGCTGCTTGTGTGTGAATATACTGTTAATGATTCAGTTTAGGTAACTGACAAAGCTGCTTGTGTGTGAATATACTGCTAATGATTCAGTTTAGGTAACTGACAAAACTGCTTGTGTGTGAATATACTGCTAGTGATTCAGTTTAGGTAACTGACAAAACTGCTTGTGTGTGAATATACTGCTAATGATTCAGTTTAGGTAACTGACAAAGCTGCTTGTGTGTGAATATACTGCTAATGATTCAGTTTAGGTAACTGACAAAACTGCCTGTGTGTGAATATACTGCTAATGATTCAGTTTAGGTAACTGACAAAACTGCTTGTGTGTGATTATATTGCTAATGATTCAGTTTAGGTAACTGAAAAACTGCTTGTGTGTGAATATACTGCTAATGATTCAGTTTAGGTAACTGACAAAACTGCTTGTGTGTGATTATATTGCTAGTGATTCGGTTTAGGAAGCTGACAAAACTGCTTGTGTTTCATTTAATATTTTTTTTACTTTTATTTTTCGCAGGAAAGAACGATTTTCAAAGTTTTTACTTTCCCACACGGGAAGCGAAATTTATCCAGAAGTGTCTTTTTTTACATGGCCAGGTGGTTAGGGCGCTCGACTCGCATACTGCGGGTCGCAGGTTCGAGTCCCCGTCCCACCAAACATGCTCGCCCTTTCAGCCGTGGGGGCGTTATAATGTGACGGTCAATCTCACTATTCGTTGGTAAAAGAGTAGCCCAACAGTTGGCGGTGGGTGGTGATGACTAGCTACCTTCCCTCTAGTCATACACTGCTAAATTAAGGACGGCTGGCACAGATAGCCCTTGTGCGAAATTCATAATAAACAAACAAACATACATACAACTGATTAGTAACTGAATGAGGTAGTTGAATTCCACTTCAGAATGAACAAGACTAAAGGATATGAACTCTTTACAAAGTGTTGTATTACACATCGAAGTACCTTTTGTATTTAAATATGCGTGTACACGTATTTATAATTAAAGTTCTAGCCATAATATTTTCACCATAAGGAAGATCGTCGAAACTAGTGCTAGAAACTGAACTGAAAAATATTTTTTTTTGGTTTAGAAGAGCGAAACTGCTAATAAAAAACAACTACAAAACTAGAAATATTTCTAGGTTTGAAAAAACGGTAAGTGATCGTTGAAAACTGTTGAAAAACTACAAAAATAAAAATATTTTTGTGGTTTAAAACAGGTGAAGTTAATTTTGAAAACTGCTAAAAAAGCAATAAAAATTAACAGCAAAATACACTGGATACAAATCTTTAATTTTAGTCTATGTTTTTTCTATATTCTTTCTATTTATTTGTCTATAAAAAGTATCATACAAAAAATTACTTTTGAGAGGCATTTTTAAAAAGAAGTGTTTGTCTCTTCGACGAGCTGCTAGTATTTTAGTTTTCAAATAATTTAAAAATTCTTAAAGTTAACTTCTAAATATTATGAGCTCTAAATTGTTATTACTATTAGGAAGTAAGATTTCGTGTAACGGGTGTAAATCACCACCTTTTACCCTTTGCACAGTGCTGTAGCTAATTGTTGTAAATATATATATATAAGTGTGAGTGTGTAAACCTAACGAAATGAGAACTAAAACAACGAATTACGAATTAATACTGGTGCTTGCCGCTAGATGGCGTACTATTCACTTCTCGAGAAAATCTACAACCAGTTTGTTAATACTTTTGCATTGTGTTCAATATCTAGTTGATAATTTGTATTAATATAAATTTACAAAAAATACTGGCTAGGATTTTGTTGATTTCCTTTTTGAGCTGAGTTGAGACTAGTTAGAACTGGTAACTGAAAACTACCTTTCTCTCTGTTGAACCTAAAAACTATTTGATATTTATTGTTGCAATGTGTAATTTGTAATGCTGTTGTATCTCACGTCATTCTTTTGATTATTTTAGGGTTACCAAACCTATGTTTTCAAGTATGGGGACAAAGCCAAAAATTACAGATTACCAGGAGACAAGTTTAAAGATATTACACCTGACCAGCTCTTCTTTCTGGCATTTGCTAATGTAAGAACCAGCGGAGTTTTGAATTTCTCTAAATGACAGTTTAGAAACATGTGTTCTTTCTCAACGAGTGCGCGAATTAAAACTATACACAGTACTGATTGTACGTTACAGGTGATACGTTTTTTTTTTTGTTGTTGTTTTTCTAATGTGCTTCCGGGATCCTAACCGTCCCAATTCTCTCCTGCCGACTCTAATATTTTTTTCGGAATTTTTGTTTTCTTGCGGTTACAGGAGATAGAGAGAGAGAGAAAAAAAAACGCTTTACTTTAAGAAACACTTTGGTGAAAGAAAAATGCACTTCCATTTTTCTTTTTTTGTCAGGAAACTGAAACCATTCATATACTTTATTAGGCTTAGGAAACTGAAACCATACATATACTTTATTAGGCTTAGGAAACTGAAACCATACATATACTTTATTAGGCTTCGACACATTTTGCCTCCCATTGGCACAGCAGTAAGTCTGTGGACTTATAATCTAAAAACCAAGTTTCGATACCCGTGGTGAGCATAGTACATATACCACTTTGTAGCTTTGTGCTTAACTACAAGCAAACAAATCAACACATTTGACGTCATGCTTAGTAACACAAATGCATGCAGATTAACGAATCGTTGTTAAATCTTTTGTGGAAGTAGCCGGTATGATCAGTGACTTTTTTTTTTTTGTCTTACTTTATTTTGAGGGAAACAAGGAAACGTGTTAACATAGACCAAATGGTGAGCCGAGCACCCCCGAGCGTGTCCGACTGTGGATCCGAGGTTCGCGGAATTATAATTACATTTCACCTACTTAACCTAGTTGGCATCATAGTAGTTGTTGTTCATGCAGTTAATGATATAAATAAGTACGTTGACCACTAATGTGTCTGTCGGATCCTAGTTTTCCTCATTAGCCCTGGTATTGGGCGAAAAAGGCTTCCTCGGTACTGGATGTGGTTGACATATAAGTCCGTAGCCATGCCGAACTTCGACGTGGAACAAAATAAATTGTACGGGAATCACTTTAAGTAAAAGGGTAGAGGCCATCTACTAGCGATATATAGAACTATATATTGCTCAGTAAAAGATGTTTTTAATTTTTCTTCGTAAAAGCCATGAGTTAAAACATCCCTAGCTCAACGTACAGTATTTACAAAGAGTGCCATGTATCCTAGACCCGATTATAACAGTATCTCTTAAGATCAAATGCCCCTGGCTCCATCTACAGTATAATCCAATAGCGACATGTTCCTCTGACTCGGTCTACAGTATCCACAACTGATTTAAGTATATTTTGTTTACGCTTTAGTTTAAAAATCAAACTTCTTCCAGCTCTGTTGGTTTCAAAATGTTATTATCTAACGTTTTCCTTTTTTTAATGTGGTTACAAAACACCACTGCTTCTCATCACACATTTAGACCTGTTTACTCTTTTTATCATTTTTCTAAATTCTTCTACTTCTTTTCTGATAAAATGTGCTACTCAAACGTGTAACAACTCGTGAACATAGTTCTATGTTCTCCATGGTAAAACAAATGTCAGTTTGACGTAGCATGTTTTTTGTTCTTTTAATGTTCACTAAGCTAAGCCTTATGAACAGTTTTCATCCAAACTATTTTATGTAAAAAAACAAAGATCTTATCTTTAGTTTATTTGTAAGATAAGAACCACAACTCCGAGAATGTTATTAAATTATTGTAGTGATGAAAACTGAGTAATATATATATATATACGTTTGTTCTTCTTCCCAGGTTTGGTGTAGCAATGCCCGTCCTCAGTACATAGTAAACATGATCCAGTATGAAACTGAGTAATATATATATACGTTTGTTCTTCTACCCAGGTTTGGTGTAGCAATGCCCGTCCTCAGTACATAGAAAACATGATCCAGTATGATACCCATAGCCCACCGAAGTACAGGTACGTTTACTAAATTGATTCAAAACACCCTGTAAGTTTCTGTTCTCTACACGCTCTTAAGTGTAGTGTGTTTTAGATTTCCTTTCTACACCTTTATAGTGCTTTATTTTTGCCCCCCTTGTGGGTCAGAGGTAAACTTACGGACGTGCAATGCTAAAATCCAGGGTTCTATTCCCGCAATGTACAGAGTGCAGGTATCCCTTTGTGTAGCTTTGCGCCAAAAAAAAACAAAAAACAACAGCAGTAGCGAAAAATTGTTTTAATAAAATGATACCAGAATCAAGTTAATTATATATTTTCATTTGGCCATTCTTTCTTTGATATTATATAGTTGTTGTTTTTTTATTATGTAACTTTTCATAATTTAAGAAATATATCGGTAAATTTAGTTGCATCATCTGGCGTTGTTTCAAACCAATGAATGAGTCTTAGCTGTTGCATTTTGTTAGATAAGAAGATACGGAAATACGTAATGTTGAGGGAAAAACGATCTTTAAATAATAATAATAATAAAAACTTTTTATTTCAACCAACGTTTCGTCATTACAACTTCATCAGAGCAAGTTGTATAAGAACTACGTACGAAATACACGTGCTTATTTTAGGACGGTAATTTGAGTTTTTAGACCAGCAATTACTAAGTGCGTTAATCATTTAGCTAAGTTGATAGAACACTCGCCTGGCGTCAGATAGATGAGTTCGGAATTCGATCTTGAACTCAGGACTTGCAAAAATAGGACCAATATATTCGAATGTCATACCGTCAACAGATAAGTTTGGTTTGAATTTCGCGCAAAGCTACCTGAGGGATATCTGCGCTAGCCGTCCCTAATTTAGCAGTAAAAGACTAGAGGGAAGACAGCTAGTCATCACCACCAACCGCCAACTCTTGGACTACTCTTTTACCAACGAATAGTGGGATTGACCGTCACATTATAACTCCTCAATGGCTAAAAGAGCGAGCATGTTTGGAGACGGGAATTCGAACCCGCAGCTCTCAGATTGCGACACGAGCGCCCCCTAACCAAGGTCACGTCACGCCCCACTACCTAAGAGCTGTAGTTTTTGAGTTATGTTAATTCTTACTTACTCCACCTAGAGTCGATGACTAGGATGTTGTGAATCAATAGGGTTTTAAGTAACTTTCTCTGTGTTACAACCATGTTCAGTTTAAGATATGAAAGAACACTACTGACACCGAGACTGAGTATATGTAAATTGATATTTTGTGTATGTAACGTTATATTTATGTATGGTGTGTTTCTAATATCAAAGCTAATATTACGTAAATTTCCTTTTCGAAATGTCTAGACATTTATACTTATCTATTGCATACTTCGTAAATAACATGTAAATATTTTTCGACAGAGTTTGGGGCCCTCTGTCCAATTTTGAACAGTTTGCTCAGACTTTCAACTGTAAAGAAGGCGACACAATGGTTAAACCAGCAAAAGATCGGTGCGCCATCTGGTAAGGGTGTTTGGAATAAGGTCAAGGAAAACTTAGAAATACTGGCTGGACACAACGGAAATCACTAACCAACTTGAAAGCAGATTATCAGAATAAGAAGAAAAAGTTAAAAGCTGTAAATTAGCAGTTTAAAATAAAGTTTTAAAGCTTCTTGCCGAAAACTAATGTACTTTTACATTCTTTATAAACTTTGTATCTTGGTAGATTTTTAATCTCTTCTTATTATTCCCTTCTCATGAACGAAATTACAGAATTAGAAGAAATCACCGCTTTTCAAATTTCAAAGCAGACGAAATTTAATTCAATACTCTAAACGTTACGTACATAATGTGTTATAAATTCTCTTCGGTGTCCCTAAATCATGTTGAAAACCTTTTTTTTTTTTTTTCGTTTTGAAATTTATAAAATGGTATTATAGATATTTGTATAATATTAGTTCATAATAACAAAAGAGTGCGTGTGTGTGTGTGTGTGTGGTTTGATAAATCTATAGAAGCTGTTAACAGTTTCCTGTCATTGGTGATTTCAAGCATAATAAAGCAACACCTTTTATTTCCTCTGTGTGTGTGTGTTTTGTGTGCTTCATAATCTCGAAGAAAATGAACAAAAATATATGCACGTATAAATATTTATTGGTGTACATATAAATAGTGTAACACCACGTGCTGTTAAATGTATAATAATATGATAAATTACAAATTAACTAACAGTACGTAATAAAAGCATTTTCTTTACGTTTAATGTAGAGCCGTTAAAAGGTAAACTTGTATTATGGTTACAGTAAATTTTAATTTAGTAACGTCTTTAAATTATTTTATTATAAGTATTATAACTTATTAGAACGTTTTTTTTTGTTGTTTTTTTACAAATATCTCGAATGCAATTTGTTCTAACTTGAAATATTTATTTCTTAGAGGACGCTAGTGTATGATATCTTAATGTGAAAACTAGCGGTACTTGTAACTTTTCTGAGCATTGCTCCCCAGTGGCATAGTGGTATGTCTGCGGTCTTACAACGCTAGAAACCGGGTTTCGATACCCGTGGTGGGCAGAGCACAGATAGTCCATTATGTAGCTTTGGGCTTGACTTCAAACAAAAAGAAATTCTGAGTATTCCCGATTGTTTCCTTTACATTTAATGTCAATTAAGTTTTAGGTTCAACGTAAAGAGTAACAATGTTCGTTTACCTTCAAATAGTTGTTGTAATGTTGTGAACAATAACAGTATCTTCTAACAAAACAACAACAGTCCATCTTCTAACAGTAGAATAATAACCAGCCTTCTAACAAAACAACAACAGTCCATCTTCCAACAGAAGGAAAATAACCAGCCTTCTAAGAGGACAACAACAGTCCATCTTCTAACAGAAGGAAAATAACCAGCCTTCTAAGAGGACAACAACAGTCTATATTGTAATATAAAAATGGTTTCCAATCTTCGAACAGATCGATAATATTTATTCTAACAGTACAACAATAAATAACTCATGTGATACGAAATTGAAAGAAGACTGATAGTGATTTTATCACATTTTTCTTTACCATCCTTGTACGGGTTTCCGGTAATAAGAGTATGATATTACTTCAACCATAAACTACTAATCAATTTATATGTGAACAACAGTAAACTATCTTCTACAAAAACTCTGAAGCTTGTGATAGAATCACAATGAAGATCGCGATACTAAATAAAAATGGTAACTTCTACAAATTATCTGATGAAGCAATTTGTACTTGGAGCTCTAGATGGCGCTTCAAGTTGCTTCGGTTCCCAATGGCACAAGACCTCGAACCTCATATGATTCTGTTCAAAGTTCTTCTGTAAAACCCGTGAGCGCAACACTAACCGACTCTGTAACGTAATTTAATGTAATTATAATAAATATTTATAAATTGTATTTATGGCAAAGCTACTAAGTTTATCTGCCGTCATCCCTAATTTTGGACAACTGACGAGAGGGAAGGCAGGTAGTCAGTAGTGCCCTATTATCCAAACTAAGGGATTGACTGTCATTCTTATAACGCACCCTCGGCTTAAAGTGCGGGGAATATTTTGTGGTTTTGCACGGTTACGAACCCAACTTGGCCCGGTGGCTAGGAGGCGCTTGACTCGCAACCTGAGGTTGCGGGTTAAAATCCCCGTCCCACCAAACATACTCAATATGCTCGTCCTTTCAGCAGTGTGGGCGTTATAATGTGACGGTCAATCCCACTATTCGTTGGTAAAATAGTAGTCTAACAATTGGCGGTGAGTGATGGTGACTAGCTGCCTTCCTTCTAGTCTTTCACTGCTAAATTAGGGACGGCTAGCGCAGATAGCCCTCGTGTAGCGTTGCACGAAATTCAAAACAAACCGAACCCAACTTGCCAGCTTTGAAATTCAGAGCTCTACCGTAGGGCCGCGTCTAGTTAAACAAATAGAATCAAATGATTGTCGTAAATTTAGTAATTAATTCGAATGTTAATAATGTACTTGAAACGATTCATCCGTTTACTTTGTCTGGCTTTTCTGATACATGGTGTTAACTGAATTCTCGTTTCTTTAGCTATGTAGAAGATAAACATTACTGTAAGTGTATCTCTGGTCTTTAAGTTTGCTGTTGTTCCAACATAAAATTTTCTTAAATACGATAACTCAAAATTCATAACTTAAACAAAATGTTGTCATTTTAGGGTACCAGAGTGACAACTTATGTACAAAATTAATAAAGCGTATCCTCCTCCCCCCGTCCACACATGCTAAGCTAGAAAAAGAGGTGTTTATTAAAGTATAGAGGGCGAAAACAAAAGAACAGGTAGTAACAAAACAATTTCGATTTTATCTTGAACTAGTAATGACATTTACAGATTGGTTGTAAGTAGAAGTCAGAACATTGAATTTTGAGATTTTATGATACTTGTTTTGAGTACAGCACTCTTATTAGCCAGGTTACAGTGACACGGTACTTCTAGTAAATGTTGTGTTTGTTAGCCAGGTTACAGAGACACGGGATTTCTAGTAAATATTGTGTTTGTTAGCCAGGTTACAGTGACGCGGGATTTCTAGTAAATATTGTGTTTGTTAGCCAGGTTACAGTGACGCAAGATTTCTAGTAAATATTGTATTTGTTAGCCAGGTTACAGTGACACGTACTTCTAATAAATATTGTGTTTGTTAGCCAGGTTACAGTGACACGTACTTCTAGTAAATATTATGTTTGTTAGCCAGGTTACAGTGACGCGGGGTTTCTAGTAAATATTGTGTTTGTTAGCCAGGTTACAGTGACACAAGATTTCTAGTAAATATTGTGTTTGTTAGCCAGGTTACAGTGACACGTACTTCTAGTAAATATTGTGTTTGTTAGCCAGGTTACAGTGACACAAGATTTCTAAGTCACTGTAACCTGGCTAACAAACACAATATTTACACTGTAACCTGGCTAACAAACACAATATTTACTAGAAGTACGTGACACGGTACTTCTAATGAAGATAATGTTGTCTTAGCCAGGTTACAGAGACGAGAGGTTTCACAGAAACCGAGCGTTTCCCGTACACGAGACGTAATTTAATTAAGCTCGAACTGATAACCTAAAGTATGTTGTAACTATATACCAATTTCTGTAAGTTGTTTTTTTTTTTACAGAAACATTTTATGCCCTTTTTTAACACCATAAATCTCGCACTATCGTGTACTTAAAAGTCATAAAGTCACGCTATTACTTTCAAAATACGGGCGAGAAGCGATCGTGAAAGGAGACTGTGATGAACATCCAGAAGGTTAGTACACTATGTTCTTCTTCTTTATTGCCTCGTCTTCTATTGTATCTTCTATTCCTGTCTACTTTGTGGAAGTTAAAGTATGTGAAAAGCATGGCGGAAGATGTGTAGGTCGGTCATCGCCGCGATTATACAAAAACCTCATATTCTGGACCCGCTCCTCCGGGAGTTTATCAATGGGCAAGCGTTTAAAAGCAATCCACTCTATGATTGTTACAAAACGATCATGACACATTCAGTCTGAACTCTTTTCACACTTCATTGAAAGTGTGAGGAACTGTAAGGCACGATTGTTAGTGGACTTTCCCTATTGGAGTATTCATAAACTAAACGCATAGGTGCTTTTGAATATCATCTCATAAAGGGCATATTTGTGCTTTCAAAAAAACCGCCAGGACATCTTCGTGATGTCGGTTTTATGTGGTCCGGTCGCACGATGTCGCTTCGGCACCTGCGCTGAATTTTGTGCGAGGCATCCGTCACAGACTTCCAAAGTCTTTTCATTGCTTTTATCCGAAGAAATTTGGCACGCTTTGAGACGTCCTCCCCCCCACGGAACAAAACCCCACTCAAACTCAAAACTTCTTTAAGAAACTTGACCAACTCTCAGACATGTGTAGACTTTTCAAGGATGAAGAGTTACACCTCATAAACCCAGCATTATACAGGGTGTTGAGTAAATCCCGGAATCCGCCCCTCAAGGATTCTATTATATTGTCTTCATTGCCAACTTGCATATATACTGTATTATTTCTGTTTCTTCTTTGTTCTCATTATATATAGTTACAAGTTACATAACTCGAACTCCCTAGAAAAATCACGATCGTTATACTCCACAAAAAGCAATATATATATATATATATGTATGTGTGTGTTTATTAAATATTCTTACATATCCTTTAAATAAATTGTGTGTCAGTTTTAACATTCCTTTAGACATAAGATTGCAGAATGATGATTTATTGACTTTTAATTTGATGTTTATGTGAACAGCCCTGCAATTGTTGAAGTTATATTTCATGCAAAATTGCTCCCAGATTTAATCTCATGGCACCAATTTTTTTTTTCGTGGGGGGGGGGGGGGAGCATGCCCCCCAGACCCCATAGCATTAGTATGCTTTGCATGCTGATTGTGCTTCGCGCAATATGTGTTATGTGTTGGCTTTTGAACTCACAAATTAGAACCCCCTCTTTCAAACATTCTGCGTACGGGGCCTATTATACTTCACAAAAAGCAATATATATATTTATTTATTAAATATTCTTTTATATATTTCAAATAGATTTTTATGTCAATTTTAACGTCCCTTTAGACGTTTAAGATATCATAGGATTCTTTGAAAATATATTTAAATCAATTTAAGTATATCTTCGAATTCTTACGTATTTAAGTTTAAATGTT